ACACTCTGCAAGAAATAAATAAAAGTAACTGCATTGGGCCCTGTGTTTGGAAAAAAAAAAAACAAAAACAATGTGTATTACTAAACTCAACTAGTTTGGATGGGAAACCAAATTAACATCTATGAATAAACTGCTGTAAAAAGAATTTGGAAGATCCAGACATGAACAAATGAGCATGGAGGAAGGGAACTTCTGAAAGGACCGGAGTGTTACATAAGTAACACTTTCCCAGGGGAAATAATGAAAAAGCAAGTGTTTACTCAGTATCTGTAACACGTTGGACACTGTAGGAGATGCACACATATGAGGTTGACTACCAGCCTCAAAGGACGCAGTGACTGGGGGAAGTCGACATAGCAGAGGTGCGACACATCAGCACAAGAAGGGAAAAGAACGCAGCACAGTTCAGGCAGTCCGTGGAAGGATGCTCATCATGAGCTAATGTGGTTTAGGGAGACCTAAGGGAAAGGAAAGAGCTAGGGTTTCCACAGAGAATAGCAATGCTCCAAGCAAGGGAAAAATCGAGGACCTGCGTAACAAGACAGAGGGGAGTAAGCTTTAAGTGAAGATGACCAGCTAAGTGTGGTTAAACTAAAGGCCTCAAGGCTATCAGCTTATGTGGTTTCCAGCAAGTGGACTGTAGGGGCCTTTATTAGCAGATAATTAAATAATTGAACTTATAACTGCTTCACGTGAGCTAACAGCATGGGATGAAGGGCTGTGATTGCATCTCCTTAGTCTTATAATGGCATGGCCCCGATCACCAGTAAGCTGGCAAATCTTTACTATAAGAACTGTCTGTTCCTCCTTCATACCACTCGCGAGAAACCTCTCCACAGCAGCAATGCAGCAGGCTTCCCTGTACAAACTCCCTTGGGACATGTCTGGATTCATCTTACTGTCCATAGGCTGTCTGGCTGTCTCTTCACCACCGTGATCTCCCTACTTCTGGGATCCCTCCTCTTCCTGGATCTTCACACTGTCAGTGTGCTTGCCTCTTCTAGCTCCTCCTCCTGCAGGCTAAAGGATGCACAAGCAGCATAGGATAGCACCAGGTTTTGAGCTAAGATGTAGACAACGCAAAGCCTATGGTTTCCACTTTCACATCCCTAAAGTGCTAGTTTGCTACTGATGGCAGGGATGGAGCTCAGCTGATATTTGTAAATTACTCCATCCAGTATTAGATTTTGCAATTATATTAAATGTTAAATGCAACATTTAAAATGAAATCTATGTTATCGACTTTATTTAGTTATATCCAAATATATGAACAATGTTCAGTCTTCTGCTGTTGCTAAATTCAATAGTGCTCATTTTTCAGTCCTAAGTTTGTTTATTTTCCCCCAGTTTTGAGAGTTCCTGTGACCAGAAAGCCTTTGCCTACACCACCTACTTATATTAAGCCATCATCATGTTTTCTCTTTTCTTTTCAGTATATTTAACTGCCAGGCAGGACTTGAGCAAGAGAAGGATCTAGATTGCCAAGTTCATTAATATATAGGTTCAAATTTTATATTAAAATACAACTTACAGATAGGAAGAGATGTTTAGAGTTTCATGTTAAGTTCACTCCATATGCAATTGTAGACAAAGGTGTTAGTGTTTTATGAATAAAAGGAAAATATATGTGAAAAGAGGTATAGTATTTTTAAAGGTTGCAAATCCTATCAGCTCTGTTGATCACTGTCTCTGTCTCTCTGTCTCTGTCACACACATACGGAGGGGGAGAGGGAGAGGAGGGAGAGGGGGAGAGAGAGAGAGAGAGAGAGAGAGAGAGAGAGAGAGACAAACACACAGATTATCAGTTGAAAGCTCCTACAGGTACATACATAGAGCCTTTTCACTTCATGGTCATCTTTACCAATCTGTTGTTGATGGAAAATCTCCAGTGTATTTCACTGAATTCTATGGTAACGTTTTCTATAAAATATCATTTCTTTCATTTCAAATGAAATCCCCAACAATGTAGAGATTCATGGTTCAAGTACTTGTTCAAATGAAAGTCACACAATTTATACCTTTGAAATGAAGAACTTCTGTGGGGAATTAACTGAATTGACCGAAGCCTTCTGTACATCACTTAGATAACTACAAGGAAGCAAGGTTGGGTGGAATCAGGCCGAGCCTCATTGAGAGTTTTCTGATGCTATGAAACAACTCTGCCACATTTACACAGGGACAAGGAGGTTTTTAACAATGTTTACATGCTTCACCTGGACATTCTGAAAATACCCCACGATCACCTGTACCTTCATGTCAGTTATGCATTAGTTGGAGAAATTGTAGGGTATTTGTTCACAATTAGTAAAGGCTTAGAAAAGAGGAAAATCCACATTTATTTTTTCTGACCCCATGCTGACTTGCAATAGCCTCTCTGCCTCTGTATAAACACAATATGCCTGTGAAACATATATGTGGTAACAACAGGGCAAAGGTTTTCTTAGGAATTCAGTAGCTATTAGAAATAATCACTTCACATGAAATACTCATCTGAGGAGCCAAGTCACAAGGCTAGAAAACGTTCAGAAATGTGCTAGAAAATTTTCAGGAATTTAAAATTCTGTTTTCTACAATATAAACATTAGAAGTATATTTTCACTTCAAAACACATAAGAGATGGTCTTTATGACGTACATGTTTCTTGAACAGAAACAGGCCTATTGCCGAACACTTTTAAAGATATTCACTGCAATACACACGTAGGCCTCATCATAGTGACACTGGATTGGACTTACTGTGATGCTCTTAGTTGCCCCGAGTTCAAGGCCTTGTCCCTTACTCCCCAGTGCCAGGTGTGATTCTTCATACATGAGTAACTCTGTGCCACAAGCCTGCCCCCTTTGCTCCTACCCTCACTTTGTCCCATGAGAAGAGGAGGACTTTAAATTGAATGAGTTTGAAAGAGAACATGGGCATATCTAAGATGGCCCTTCTCAGTGTGTGGCTATCATCGGGCCTTCAAGTTTAAGCTACTCCTGGATGGGCTTTGTCTCTGGCCCAGTCCAGCTACCAACCAAGGGCCAACTTTTTACAAGTCTGGAGCTGACTAGGAGAAAGAAAGATCACCCCACCTGGACGTAGGCTCTGCAGTGTTTTGTTTTGTCAGAAATAAAGGTGATAGTTTATTCTTCGACACACTGTACTCTTTAGAACCTAGTGGCGAAAAGGAACATTATTTGATTTTTTTGCTTCCAATAACCATTTTTATAAGATTTTTCATTTTCAATTATGTGAATGTATGTGTGTCTGTGTGGGATGCCCCCAAAGGCCAGAAGAGAGAGCCAGATCCCCTGGGGTTGGAGTTACAGGTGGTTGTTAGCTGCCATGTGGGTTCTGGGCACTGAACCTGGGTCCTCTGCAAGAGCAGTCAGTGCTTTTAACCACTGATCCATCTCTCCAGTACCAAAAGGCATTTTTTAAAGAGTGCTTTCAAATGCTCTCAAACCTTGAGTGTCTGGACTGACCCACTTGCCCAGACTGGCCTGCCAACATGGTGATTTCTCCTATGGCACCAAGTACAAGAAGCAGAAGACAGAAATGATTCAAAACTTTGTTTAAGGCCCTTATGTCCAAAGAAAACCAATAAAAGTTGATTAGACTGACGCTTTTTGATAAGAACAAATCCATAGGCTTTGTATGGGGATAAATGTACGTGCCATGATCTAATGCATCGGTTACTCAGAAATCCTTCTTTTGCATACTCTGATATTTTGATATTTCAAAGGAAATAGTTCAGACAAAAGCTACATACACCAACACTAACTTTGGAGCAAGATATTCTGTAATAGCCAGGTAACTGTGACCGTAAGACTATTCTTCTCTTGTGTATTTGAAACATGCCACAGCGTCGTCAAATTCATAGGGAAACTGCCATACATTTGCAAAGACTGCAAATGACAGAAGTAGGGAACCAAACCCCAATCGATGATCATTTCAACAGACAAACACGCCTAAAACAGTGGTAGACATTGTTAACATGAGTCCTTTGTAAAATGTTATCGTTGTTGAAACATCAAGCAGGTGGTTCTATGAAGAGTTCACTACAGGGCATGGAGAGTTGTCTCAGCAGTTAAGAGCCCTGGCTACTCTTACAGAGGACCTAGGTTCGATTCACAGTACCCACATGGTAGCTAACAACCATCTGTAACTAGTTCCGTGGGATCTGACGCCCTCTTACGACCGCCACAGGCATTGTATGACATGGGTGCACTTACATACAGGCAGGCAACACACTCATACACACGAAATGAAAGCAATAAAATATTTTAAAAAGAGTTTACTACATATAAAATCCATACAAGAACGATTTCTTTTTCTCTGGCTACCAGAATATCTGATTCCATTTCTGCGTACAACAATATGAGCACTTTTTTTCCAGTGTTGAGTTTTGCTAGATAACTTGAAATGCAAGGGATTTTCCTTTTTTGCAAGCAATTTCTTAATAAGCAATAAAAGATAAAAGGGCAAACAGCATAAGCTCTTAGAATCTTTTAAAGATATCTGCAAAGCTTGTTTGTGACTTAAAATAAGCTTACTGTTGCATATTATAAAGTACACATTTGCCCCATTGTATCTAACACCTTTCACACTGTTCTTACTATCTAACATCAAGAAACAGACATTGGCACTCCTGAGTTTTGACCCATAGAAATTTAGTTGTAACTGAGAGATATTTTAATGATATATTTTAACTTCACTCATTCAAACAATTCATTTTTTCCTAATAAAATGACATAAGAATTCTTATATTGTGGTAAATTATTTTCTTGTCCACATCCGAGTCGCAGAGGCACAGGCAAGTCTTGTTCCTGTCAAACGAGTTGTTATTAAAGGCACGTATGTCTTTGATTTAGGCTCATGCACCAAGTACTGACTAAGAGCTGTGAACAGTTATCAGTTGCTGTTTTCTAATAGACAATTTTTTTTCTTTCCCAAGTTTTAGAGTAAATCATTTTGAAATGTCACTCCCTCTGGCGATATCTTATAGAAACAGTACGCACCTTCTTTTTTATCTTCTGGAGTAATCTTCACTTTTGTGTCCGTTATATCTTTGAAGGAAGCCAGAAAAAGGACCACGTCTCCTTTCTCATTCTTTATAGGGACAATATCCAATAGGCACCAAAATGGAGACCCTACAACCCAGATAAAAGCACAGGTCAGCCTCCTATATCCCTATGAAAACCCAATCACTGATAAAAACAAAGCCCTTCGCACTTTTATTTCCTGTCCCACACTCTCCCATCTTAAGAGCACCAGCTTTCAGAGTCAAGGAGTAACAAGTTTATATTCATATCTCTTTGTTCAAAAACTAAAGACTTTCTTGAAAATAAGGTAGTATTTAAAGCAGACATGTCTGCCTGTGCGGACACATTCCTGCCTATGTCATTCAAACTGCATTTCTTCTTTGAGCTTGAGGTTGAGGGATCCTACTTAGTGTTTGCCACGTTGACTCTAGAATTAAGACCCGTGTTTGGTATAAGTTTACAAGAGGCTTATTCAATCAACTTAAAAGCCAAAAAGCATCCACCAGAATGGGAACAAAAACCAAGATGGAAAACACCAATTATTTTTAATGTGTATGAGTATATTGCCTCCTGTGTGTAAGTGAACCCGTGTCATGCAATGCCACAGAGAACAGAAGAGGGCGTCAGATCGCCTGGAACTGGAGTTACAGATGGTTTTTAGCTGCCATGTGGGTTCTGGGAACCAAACCTGGGTCCTCTGCAAGAGCAGCCTGTGCTCTTAACCACTGCGCCATCTCCCAGCCACATGGAAAATGCCAATTTTGAGAGGATGCCAAGGCACTTAAACTCTCAGACATGACTGGCTGGTTTCAAGGTAATACCACTAATACCAGTACTTTAAACACTGTTCAGGATTAGGAAACTTTATATATAACACAACAGTATACATCATTGTGAGTGGGTAAGTACTACTATGTACGTATTTCTAAACAGTTCTAACATGATGATGAGTCAAAGTAGTTGGCTACAAGTGAGTAGAGTGAACATGGATTCACGTTCAGTAAGTATAAAATAGGCAAAATTAGATATGGTGCTAAGTTAAAGTCAGTGATTATCCTTCAGGAAGATGTGATTAAAAGCAAACAGCAGAATGAGGTCACTGGAGTGAGTTATGATCTTTATGTTGTCTATATATAGGTGTTTATACTTTGAAAACATGCATTTTGCATATATGTCATATCTGATAATATCTCTCAAAAGGCAAGGCTGTGGTTTGAATGTGAAATGCCCCAGGCTCATGTGTTTGAACACTTGGTCCCCACTGTTAGGTTCCTGGCAGGCTCCTAAAATGGCTCTGCAGCTCAGATATTCTAAAACAGTGGGTTCAAACCTAGCCGGGGCAAGTCCCTCTGCTTGTTGGGAGACCCACCAATCCTGAGCTAAACTGCCCAGCCTACATCATAGAAAGTTACCCAACCACCTGACTGCCTATGAAAGATGTCTGACTGCCCCAGCTCACTGCTGTTTCCCTGCTCTCAGAGTGGCAGCCCACGGGTCTGTGTGCTCTCAAATGAAGTGCTGCCCCCCCCCACGCCACGGAGTTGCCTGGTTGGTGGTCCTCTGCGCTCCTCGTCCGTACACCCACCTAGTGATGCTGTTTTAGGGGGTAGTAGAACCTTTAGGAGGTAGAGCCTTGCAGGAGGAAGGCTGTCACTGGGGGTGGCTTTGAGGTCTATGGTCTCTTGTCTCTGCACCTCCTGTGTGGACGAGCTGAGCTTCCTAACCCTCGGGCGGGCCTTATACTCCTGCTGCCAGGGCTTTCCCACCGCGATGGACTACTACGTCCCCTCTGGAACTGTAAGCAAAATTCATCTTTTCTTTCTCAAATTGCTTTTTGTTTCGATTTTTCTATCACAGCAGCAGCAAAGAAACCAATGCGGGCAGTTCACCTGGAGAAAAGGAATCTTGTCATGTAGACTCACCCTAAAATCATAGTACTCAATGGTTGGCCTATTATGTAAATGTTTTTATTGATTTTAAAACAGGTATTTAAGTTTTTCTTGTTCTATGTTTTCTACTAAAAGGCATTTTAGATAGAAATATTTGAAAATGATGGAAATAGGGCAGAAAAGATGACTCAGAAGTTAAGAGCACTCTTGCAGAGGACCTGAGGTCAGATCCCAGCACCAACATAGCAGCTAACAACTGTCCAAATCTCCAGTTACAGGGGATCCAATGTCCTCTTCTGGCTTCTTCAGGCATTGCATGACATGGGTGCACTTACAGACATGCAGATGAAACTCTCAAGTCAAAACTAAGAAACATACAAACGTTGAAAATATTTTTTAAAAGAAAATGGTGAATTTATTTAAAATTATTAATCTATTCACACATAATTCTTCCCTTTTGTGATGAAAAGTCTCAGTTCTATGGGATTTCTATTCTAAATGTCTAAGATATGCTGCTAGCATGAAATATGCATATGATATATCAAGTAACAGTATGCATGGAGCGTATACGTTTTCCTCCATATTCGGAGTCTTAGATTTTTCCCTGTGCTTTTTGGATGCAGACTCAGCATCATTTATCTGCCCCCCCTACCTTTAAGAGAGCAACCTCAGTACCCCATTGGTCTCACCATGCCTCCAACACTGAGTCACATGACCATAAGGAAGCCATGGGATCTCCTTGGAACTTTCCATCGTAACACGGTCACACCCACATCTAGTAGTGGACACAGTGAGCCTAAAATGCTGACACAAGTCAATTCAACTGTTCAAGAGTAATGGATAAATGTCAGAAGTGAGCTACACGATCCAACCTACACGTCTCCCCGTCGCCCACGCTGGGTGTCCTTTCACATCGTATCTGTGACTACCATTTCAAGTTGGGAGCCTTTGTCATCAAGCTTGTAACTGTGGTAACAGCATCAGGAGCCATCAGGTCAAAATGTCAGCTCTCTGAGAAAGTAGCAGTGGCTGGGGCTAGAGACATGACGCGGAGGTTAAGAGCACTTCCTGTTCGTGCAGAGTAGAGCTTGGTTTCTAGAACCCTCGCTGGGAGGTTCCTGACTGCCTGCAACTTCAGCTACAGGCCCGGGGATCTGTCACCCTCTCCTGGCCTTTGCCATCTCAGCACACACATGTATATGCACACACGTGTACACACACATACATGTACACACACGTGTACACACATACACATACACCTACATACACACATGCACGAACAGAACCTCTGCCCAGGTGAAGCGATGTGGTTTCGAAAGAAGCCAAAGCACAAAGTGAGGTAAAAGCCAAGAAAACAGCTGTCAGCTGGCGACAGTCTCTAATGAGCTTTGCAGGCCCGGCCCTCATTTCACATTATGTTCTGGAAGAGTGTAAAGTTTACTTTGAAATTCGTCTTTTAAATCGCAAAATGTGATCTTTGACATCTTTCAAATTCAGTAAGATTTCATTAAAATGAGTTAGTCTGAACTCAAGTTTCCCAGTGGTTTCCCACGGGGTCCACACTGTCAGTGCCTCTATAATAAGAAAGGTTTAGCAGGAAAATATAACAGGGACACAGAGGCCCCGTCCTTCTTTCTCTTCCTTCCTTTTTCCTTCCCTTCTTTTCTTCCTCCCTTTCCGTCCTGCCTCCCCGTCTTCCTTCCAGTCTGAAACTTACTCAACTGCTTTGAACACCTCCCAAGTTGGAGAACAAAGCACATTCCGCTTGCTTGTTCCAGAAGAGAAAGATGCCCACAGTCACTACCGACACCCTTGACACAGCCTGCCCACTCCTCCTAGCCCTGCTTGCTTCCATCTCTCTGACACGCTCCTCTCCCAGGCTCTCTGACAGTGTTTTCAATCCTGTGTGGCTTCAATAATTCAAGGCTGTTCTCCAGGTTTTGGCATTTCCTGCTTCACTCACCAGCAGGATGGATGACAGTCAACTTTCAATCCAGAGTAATTCAGGCCTGGAGTCATAAATGTCTCATAGAGTGATGGTGATGGTGGGAGTTACTAAGTCACTTAGCCTTGAATTCAGAGATGCTAATGGTTCTTAAGAAGAGAGTTAGAGAGCAGAAATCTTGTGTCAATTTTAACTCTGTCTGTATATAGCAGCAATAATTACCATGTGGGTTGGAAGTGCCCAAACAGAGGAGGTACTGCCAGGATTTCAGTTAATAACACCTTTAATTTCCAAGGATAAATACGACTGATGGAGAAAGCAGGGCTTATACCTTATATGGTAAAGTGTACTTCGGGAATTGAATAAATAGTTACCTTAGGAAGCAAGGGTATAAAAGAATTTGACTTGCTAATATTTACAGCTACGGGAAGACTCATTCTCTCTGTATATCCTATTAAGGCTTAAATACAAAATGTTCCCTCACAGGTTCATTGTTCAGTACTTGGTCTCCAGGTGATGGTTCTATCTGGAGAGTTTCTGGAGACCTTGGGATGTGGGGCATAGTTGGAGGAAGTAGGTCACTGGATGTGAGCCTATAAACTTTATACATGGTTCCCAGTTCTTTTCCCATCTCTCTTTGCCTCCTGTCCATCATGAGGTGAGTAACCTGTGTCATATCTTGACAGCACAATGAGGCTCTACCCCACCACAGGACCAGAAGTCTCTTTTCCCATCTCTCTTTGCTTCCTGTCCATCATGAGGTGAGTAACCTGTCATATCTTGACAGCACAATGAGGCTCTACCCCACCACAGGACCAGAAGTTAGGAATCTGACCGTCTCTAAAGCGGTGAGCTAAAATAAATCTCTCCTCCCTTAGGGTGAACACATCAGGCATTCTGTCACATTCTGGCTAATACATACCCCCAAAAGATTATATTTGGCAAAAGCATAAACTAATAATAAGATGTTCAGAATAAGGCCATAGTTTAATAACTAAATCCACACAGGTATAGATATAAGGAACATTGAGACCTGAGTAGCTTTGTTTGCTGTGATGATTGTGCTGTTATGATAGGGGACAGTTTATTGCCCAATGTAACAGAACACCTCAAAGTGGGATGTGGACATCGCTTAGCCCTTGTTTTTATTTTAAACAAGAGCTTGAGTGGAACTTCATAGTGAGTGTGTGATTATTTTCTTATTTATTATTTCCTAAAATTATGTGTGTATGGGTGTGCCTGTGTGTCAGTCTATGAAAGTGAGTGCAGTGCCC